AGGCTAAAGATAAATCGTTTTTTAAAAAAGGTATAGAAATGTTAAAGAGTGGAGTGCTGGAGTGATTGTATCACTCTTGATGGAAACTATGTTCATGAATAAAATTTATTTTTACCAAAAAAGTTGTGTTTTCTTTATTAGACCGGGAACTTATCAGCTCACCTGTTAGTATTCAAATTTCGCGCGTCTTAATCATTTGTGTTTCTTCGCGTATAGACATCGTCCGATTCGTTCTGTTTCCGGGAATGCGAGAACTGGTGATCTTTTATAATCACAAGTGAGGAAATGAAATATATCGAGGCCTCGATAGCGTAGTAAGTCCGAAATTGAAGAAATCGTGACTTCTTGCTTGACGGGCGAATGTTTTACCACTAAGCTACTCATGCCCCATATTCACCCGTAAAATTTCATTCTCTTTAAGTCACCAAAAAAATTCCTTATTCCTTTAAGAAAATGATTCTTTTATTCATATTGATTTACAATCAAATAATGCGAAACATGGCCATTAAAAGCCTGTGCACGGATGTTAAAGTGCAATTATTATAATAGAGTATTAAACTATATCATCGGTGTTTAGTCTTCTAATGGCCATGTATTATTTGATTCTATATCAATAGATCCTTATATATTATTAAGTTGGGGAAAAAAAATCAATTATTTTTAAATGAATATCAAGACTTTATTTAACATTTTTCGGATTGTCCGATTTGTGTTAAATATGCACCGTTTGGATTTATAATTTGTTGCCATTTTAAAGGTATCTTCATAATGCTTCTCTCATAGAAGTCTTGGTTCCTATTGGCGAAAAATTCTAGTAATCGATTTCCACAAATTTCTCTTGATGTCAATTTCTTATCACTAAGGAAGTTTTGCAATGCAAGAAAAACATGATAATCACTTGGCGCCGGACTATATGGTGGATGCCTCAAAACCGTCCATTCCCAACCAAGCTCCCGGAGTTTCTGACGAGTCGCTATAGACATATGTGGCCTGGCATTGTCCTGATGAAACACAGCACCTCTCCTGTTGGCCAATTCTAGCCGTTTCTGGTCAATCACTAACTTCAAACGGTCCAGTTGTTGACAATAGAAATCCGAATTTAGTGTTTAGCCATATGGAAGCAACTCATAATAAATGATTCCTTTCTAGTCCCACCAAATGCACAGCAGAACTTTCCTGGCCGTTAGTCCTGGTTCGGCCACCGTTTAAGCTGCTTCACCGCGCTTTGACCACGATCATTTCTGCACAATGTTGTCGTATGTGACCCATTTCTCATCCCCAGTCACCATCCGTTTAATAAATGGGTCGATTTCATTCCGTTTGTCCAAGGCTTCTCAGATGAATCCATCATGTTTCTTTGTGTTAATTGGTGTGGCACCCAAGCTTCTTTTTGAATCCAGCTTTGTGCAAATGGTTTAAAACTGTTTTATGGTCGATCTTTAGCTCCTGGGCGATGTTACGACTGCTAACATGCCGGTTAACTTCGATTATTTCTGTGATTTTATCGACATTTTCGACGACGGGCCTACCTGTGCGAGGTGCATTTTTAACATCAAAAACACCTGAATGGAATCGACGATTCCAAACCAAAATTGCATGTAATTGGCTGTTACAGTATCGGTACCATAAACACTATTCACATTTACAGCTGCTTGGCTTGTATTTTCACCTTTATCAAAAAAAAACTGTAAAATGTTCCGAATTTTCTCTTTGTTGACTTCCATTTTTAACACCCTGTATCTCACAACTGAATGGACCAAACAAAATACAACAAAAGAAGTTTTCTAGTGCGAAATGTCACCTTTCCAACAAGCAGAAATCTAAAATTGTTTGATCGATACTTTACGAGATATCGATCACTACAGCCATCTACCGAGAAAATAATGGATTTCTTTTTCCCCAACATAATATTTATTTATTTCATTTCTACTTAAACAGGCGGAAAAATGAATTTCTTAAAGAAATAAGGGGTTTTCTTTGTAATTTAAGGAGAATGAATTTTATTAAGTGAACGTGGTGTTTAAGTAGTTTAATGGTAGTCGTCCGGCAAGCAAAAGGTCTCAGGTTCCATTTCCGATTTGCGCTAAGGCGTGATCTTGTTATTTTTTTCTCTATTTGTAATTATAAAAGGGTGACTAGTCCGCGCATCTTCAGAAATGAAAAAGATCGGACGATGTTCATTCGCAAAGATGCACAAATGATTTAGACGCGCGAAATTTGAATACTATATTACACTATGAAATCCGTGCATTATCTATTAACTTGTAATATTGTTTGCACTACAACATTTGTGTACACGCTCTTAAAGTCTATATTTCATATTATTTGATGATATATCAACAAAGCCTTATATATTATTTAAATTTGTTTATATTTCTCTAACTTACCTAAAGTCACGCTTCCTACGAAATGGAATAGAATTAATGTCTGTCTAAATTTATGGTAATCTTACATAGAGCATAAATAACGTATACAGAAATCATAATATCCGGCGAGGTGTGTAAATAAATTGTTTTTACGCAGGTCGTTCGAGCGTCCATGTCTTATTTTACTATATTAACTTCTGTACGATGATCATTATCTTGATGTCGACAATATTATAAATATCACGGCTATCATATTTGGCTATGAGACTACTTTATATAACCACGTAGTTCATCATGGTTTTTTTCGCTACATCATAAATCGCTTCATCAAATATAGATCAATGCACTTTGTGAATCTATTATAAATAATATGACAATTGGACTCGTTAAACTTGTCGTTTACATTGTACGTATTATAGTCTACGATTATTGCACATACATAAGGCATGACGATATGTATATATATGTGTTCTAACAGATATAATTTAAATATTTTTCATATGTTTAAGCCAAGCTTGAGAGTTACGTTCTAAAATAGTTTTCAATATAGAGTTTGCCTTAAAACTAATGTATCCTGTGCAATTTTTCCATCCTATTATATTTTATATTCTTTATACATGCTGCGTGATCACTTAAGATCACTTAACGAATGCATGCAATATATAAAGTTGTCGTTACCGCCGTATGGAAGAAAAGGAAAAAACTGATAATTCCACGATTTGTTGTGAGTCACATGCTATTTGTATTTTGCAACCTAAAATAATAGCCTTTATGATGATTATTCGTTCTAGTTACTATACATGATCGTTAATATCTTACTCAAATTCTCGTTTAAGTACGTCTTTGCAACTCACAAATTGATAGAAATTCAACTGACTAGGCCGTCTAGCATATCTCCAATCTTCCACCTCTCATTCTCTTACTCATATTGTGTTCACCCGCTTTACTTTCTTTTTTTGATGACCCAGGGGAAATCCTCATGAATCTCAACGGGCCCGGGGGAGCTCCGAAGAGTATGCCGGACTATTACGGGCTAAAACCCCTTGGGATGCCAACCTTGGCGCGCCCGGGGGGTATGCGATATCTGCACAAGCATACCCGTACATGCCCCCCGCGCCAGACCCTCTCCTCGGACGACAGAGAGGGCATCACTCCTCTGTCGCCACCTTTTTAGGAGGTTAACCCGCCGCCGAAGACACCTCGCCCCGGCGATGACCCTCCCGCGGAGCGTGGCCCAGGAGCGGAGAGGGAAGCAATCCCCTATTTCCCCCTCACGGACACTGCGCCCCACTCCCCATGCAATAAGGAGCGAGAAAGATCTTCCCTTCCCTTTATAACCCCTGAATGTCCCCCTTTTCCTTGGGGGTGGTAATCACCCCCCGGCTTGGTCCGCCTCCGGACGGCGGGCAGAAGGGTAACCCTCTCGGCGCATGCCTCTCCCTGAGGGTCCCCTTCCCTTCCTTTCCCCATATCGGCTGTGCCGTCCCCGTCCGCCGTTTCCGGGGGGAGGGAACGACCGCCGGATACCCCTACGCGGTGCGCGCCGGGGAACACCCCGATGCCCACCGCCTCTCCTTGTTGCACGGAGGGAGGGATCCATCCTTCCCTCTCCGCTTCCTCCTTCGGCCTCACGAGTCCGCAAACCATCCCTAATCCTGGCCCTCTCCGCTTCCCCTTACGCAGCATAACACTGCTGGAGAAGGCGAAGAAGGCCACCCACACCACGGAGTCCCTGAGAGCACCGCCTATTATAGCGACCACCCTTACATCGGGCCTCACCACCCCGGAGAGGGCACGGCGCTCCACCCCTCAAGCAGGCCACTGCTCAAGGGTGTGTCGCGCAGTGTCCCTCTCCGCCCCACAGTGATGGCACCCCGGGGTGCTTTCACGCCCAATGTGACACAGGTACTCACCGAAACATCCGTGTCCTGTGAGCACCTGTGTCGCGTGGAAGGAGGGGGCGAACATTTTCCTCAACCACTCCTCCAGTTAGGGGAGGATTGTTTGCATCACCCTCCCCGCTCCGCTGCTGCCGCAGCCACACCTCCAGGCGCACCCTCCATGTCATAATCATGGAGTGGTGCGCCCGCCGCCGGATTTCACTTACAATCCCCGCAGGGACAGGTACCCCTCCTCCCCGAAGCTCCCGCACACGCAGGAAGATTTCCTGGTTTAGTGCCAGGAGCTGCAAGGAGGGTAGGCACGCCAAGAGGGTGGCCGCGGCGTAGCACACAGTCCTATACGCGCGGGCCATTCTCAGCGCAACGGCTCGGTGGGCCTCACGAAGGCATCGTGAACCCCCCTGCCACTTCACTACTCTGCCGGCCCACACGGGGGCGCCGTATAAGACCGTAGCCTGCAGCGCCCCCGCGTAGAGCCGGCGAGCCCCCACATTTGGCCCCAGGTTGGGCATGAGCCGCCCCAAACTGGCGGCGGCTCTGGCCACCCTGAGGGCCAACCCCTCAAAGTGGCGCTCGAAACTCCATTTTCCGTAAAGGCGGAGACCCAGGTATTTGATACCGGACCCCATCCTAACGGGAAATCTCCCCACCATGATATGGGTCTTCCGGTGCCCCTCCNGAAATCCCCCCCCCATGATATGGGTCTTCCGGTGCCCCCCCCCCCCCCCCCGTCCGTCGTGAAAAAACACAGCCTCGGACTTTTTGGGGGACACTCGAAGACTCAAGCCCCGAATAGCGTGGACAACACTATCGACCACCTCGATTGCGGCCACCGACGCCTCTCCCCATGTGGCCCCCTCCCGGAGAGCACGAGCATGTCGTCCGCATAAGACGATCGCGCTCCCCGGAGGAAGCACAATGCTCAACACCTTGTCAAATCGGAGGTTCCACAGGTAAGGTTCCAAAGACCGATCCCTGTGGAAGCCCGCACAACGCCTTTCTAAAATGAGATGCCCCATCCCGATCCCTATAAGTCAACCCTCTGCCGCGGAAGTATTCCGCAATGGTGGACACCAGATATTGGGGAACCCGAAAGTACGCCATGGCGTTTACCACGCGCCCCCACGGCAAGGAGTTAAAGGCGTTGGCCATGTTTAACAACACCGCCAACGCCACTTCGCCCTCCCTCACCACGGCCACCGCGAGGGATTGCACACGGAAGACAGCATTCACCGTGGACCGCCTCCCGCGGAAGTCGTACTGGTGCTTCAACAGGCCTCCCCTCCCCTGCCCATCCATATACCGGACCAGGCAGTTAACCAGGATGCGCTCAAAGAGCTTCCCCGCCTCGTCCAGCAGACATATGGGCTTAGGCCCCTGAAGTCCGAGGGTGAGTCCTGCCCCTGACCTGGCTTTGAGGACAGGACGACCCCGGCCATCTTCCACCCGTCGGAGAAGCGGCCTGCCCTGAGGCAGTCAGTAAAAGCCTGCCCCAGGGCGCCCTTAACTCCCCCGCGGCTACCTTCCAAACGGCCACCGGGATCCCATCTGGGCCGGGGGCTTTTTGCGTCCCGATGCGCCTAGCCGCCGCTCGGACCTCTTCGGCCGTGAGCCCCAGCTCGTCCCGCCAACCCGGCACCCGCCCCCCCNCCCCCCCCCCCGAGTTGGGGCGGTAGCCCCTCCCCGGGAGGGAACAGAGCGCCGATGATGTCCCGGACGAACTGGGGGTAAAGCTCATCCGTTTGTGGAGGCGCCTACGGGCGGAGCTTGTTCAGCACCGCCCTGTATGGGCGCTCCCAAGGGTCCCTACTCAGGCCCAGGAGGAGCTCGCGCAAGCTATTTTCTTTCTGGCGGGCTATAGCAGCCACCAGCTCCCCCGGGCCTGCCTATACCCCTGATAAGCTTCCAGTGATCGCTAGGCCCCTACTCTCAAACGCTTTCAGCATCTGGTATATCGATGGCGCGCCATGGTGGCGGCCCGTCTCAAAAACGCGATTTCTTCCTACCACCACGGCGCCCCCCTTTGTTCCCTAGGGGCGACTCGGGGCATAGATGCCCGACAAGCGTCAAGCACCACGCCCTGGATCCACCCCACCTTTTTTTCGGCGGAAAGGCGCTCCAAAAATTGGCAGCGCCATGTGGCCTCCGTCACCACCGCCCGGAACTTGTCTTGGTCCAACCGTAACACAGCCCACCTCCTGGCCCAAGACGACCCTTCGCCCCGGTCCCGGCCTCCCGTTTGTAGGGTGGACACGGCCACCTCTATGNAGTCCCAAGTTCGCCGCCCACTCGCCCACCAACCCCCACCCCCCTATGGTCGTCGCGCCGGGAAATCCACGCCCGCGACCAGGCGTTGAAGTCCCCGGTCACGATGACCGGACGGGGGGAGCACCTCCTTACGGCCCCGGCAATTATGACCAGGGCCGTCCCCGTCTCCGATAGTGCCATGCTGCGCGATGGTGGGAGGTATACTCCCACCACCGCTACATGGCCCCACCTGACCACCACATAGATTCCCCCCTCCTCTAACACAGATCACGGGGGAAAGAGCGCATCCGCTCCCCTCCACGTGGCGGCCACCAGCCCCATAGATCCCCCAAACGAACCCAATTGGGATCGTCCGGGATAACCTACCAGGGCTCCGCCATGATCCCTAACCCACAACCACGCTCCGCCATGGCATGTATATGAATAACTCTTGCGCACGGCGGATGTGGTTGAGGTTACATTGCAGCAGACGGGGAGTCCTAGCAGCCATTGCTGCCACCAGGCTTGGCGTCCTCCCCGCCTGTCTGTACCCTCCTTCTCCTCTTCACCTGGGCCCCTGCCTCCGGCGAGGAGCCCAGTTTCTCTCTCTCCGAGGTGGGGACAGCTGACTCTTGCCTCATCGCCGGTTGCCTCCCCTGCCGCTAATTCGCAGTTTTGAGACCCGGAGCAGTTCGCCTCTTTCCAGGCGCATTTCTCTTCTTCCCCCCTTTTGTCTGCTGCGGGAGTGGGCGGCCATTATCGCTGGCCCTCTACTTTCTTTTGGGCCTCCGGACAAACCGCTCCGCTCGCCCGGTGGTCCGACCTGTGCCCCAAGTCGGAGAAGACCGAGCATCGCGGCGGGAGAGTACACCCCTGCGCTACGTGCCCGGTCCACCCGCACCGGTAGCACTGGTCCCCTCTATCGGCCGCAGCGGTGCATTGAGCGCGGACGTGCCCCCCCTGCAAGCACTTATAACATTGCAGGGGGGGCACGTCGCGGTCCAACATCATCGCGATCACCCAAATCCATCCGACCTTGATTTGATCGGCCGCCGCCACTTTATTGGCGGCAGCAACCGGACAGCGGACCCATAGTGTGCGCAGCCCTCCCGGGCCCCTACCCCGATCGCACTCACAGAAATGAAGAACTTGAGACACTACCCCACCCGTGCCACCACCGCGGCCACCTGCTCCGACGTAAAGGCCTCATCAAGATCGGCTATCCGGATCTCCGCCCGTGTATGCGGTCGGGCTACCTGTACGCCTTCCCTCCCGGCGAGGGCCTCCGTCAGACGGGCCACCAGGGTGTCCGCCTTAGCCCCTCCACCAGGACCCGCAACCTCTTTGTTGAGGGCCCCGGTGAGGGTCCTCTTTATCCGGACGCCCTCGATATCCAGGGAGGCGAGGTCTATCTTAGACCTCGCCTCTCGGATCACGCTTTTGTAGCTTCCGGCCTGGCAAATAATAGTCACAGCCGCTGTCGCCGGAACTCTCTGTTTTTTAAGGAGCGAGGGGGGGGGGGGGCTAGCTTCCCCCCCCCCCATTCCANGGGGGGGGGGGGGGCTAGCTTCCCCACACCCCATTCCACCTTCCCCCCCGGAGCATCCGGAGGGCTCACCCGTTGCAGCTTCCCCTCCCTACCGCGGGGATACAGGAGGGGCCCCAGCGGTCCTCTCCCCATTAACCACTCGAGGGAGGGGGGGGGGCTGGGCCTTCTTTTTGATCCTTTTTTTTTCTTCTTTCCATCCTGACCTCCCCCTCCCTTGCACGGCTCTATCGGGTCCTCTCCATTCACGGATCCCAAGACCCCCTGCCGGGCCAGAGCCGGGGATGCATGACCCGATTCTCTTTCCCGGTCTCCTGGGGTCCCCGGGGTTTGAGTCGCCGTGCGCAGCTCGGCTCTTAGGGCCTGGAGCCGCTTATCTATTAGGGAGGTATCCTACCCTTCGGAGTAGGTATACAAAGTTCTTATCTTCCTTTGGAGCGACCTCCCCCACCACATCTTTCCTCGAGGGCTGGAGGTTCCCCACCTCCACCCTATCCGTGGGCGGGGATCCCACGCCATCCCCCCGTCATATGCGGTAGGGCCACGCGAAGGGCCCCCGACGCCCTTCTCATTCTTTGCAGAAGAGGATGAAACGCTTCTGTCTCTCTCTCCTTCGCAGTCTTTTTCAAAGAAGTGACCTCCCTTTTTAGGGCAACGATCTCCTCGCCCGCCCTGGAAAGTTCACCCTTTAGGGCCGCCACCTCTCCCGACCTGTCTGCCCCCTAGGCAGTACCGTCAGCCCGTCGACTTAGCTTCTCGGCAGTCACGCGCAATTCCGCGCACGACTGCCGAAGAGCCTTTATTATGGTGCCCTTTAAACCACGGGACACCTTGGCTACCCTTTCGACGCCCTCAATAGCGTCGAACGTAGACGCCATAAACTCAGGCATGGGGACGTCCCCCATGGTACCCTTTCCTCGATCCGGGAAGGTGGCCGGGGAGGAACTCAACCTCCCCGCAACCTCCTCGGCAAGGCGGAATTCCATTTCGTTCTTATGGGCCTCTAGCATTTCACGCCTGGCCTTAGCCGCTCGCCCGGCGGTCTACCGGGCCCTATCCTCTTAACCATGGCCTCTTCGTAAACCCGCTTAGTCTTGGCAGCGAGCTCCCACGCGGAGGCCGTGGATGCCACTGACTGTATGGTGCCGTCCGACGCATACTTTTCATCATAGGGTGGGTCCCCCTCCC